AGGGGTTATGACGTCATTGGCAGGCGACACAATGACACTATGGACACGGTCCGTGTCACTAGTTAAAATTGCTTATTTCTCTGGATTTAAACATTCTTCGAAACATTTGGGATAATGTAAGTACACAAGTCAGCAAAATATATAACATCTTACATATTGTGCCTTTAAGTCGCTGGGGCATGTTTGTAGCAATAGCCAAAAATACATTGTATGGGTCAAAATTATCGATTTTTCTTTTATGCCAAAAATCATTAGGATATTAAGTAAAGATCATGTTCAATGAAGATATTTTGTAAATTTCCTACTGTAAATATATTAAAACTTATCTCAATTTCGAAAAATTGACCCTTAAGACTGGTTTTGTGGTCCAGGGTCACATATATATATATATATATAGTAAAACTATATTGTGTGTAGTGCATAAAGAATATTTATGCATATATTAGTGCATAAAGAATATTATTTTTGCATAGTGCATAAAGATCCATTTAGAAATATTTTCAGAACCAAGACTTTTTATTGACCATTTCATGACAATGAAACAAATACAATCCCCCTCAATTCTCATTAACCTACTACAACCTGAAAAATATGTATTATTATTAGCAGTAGAATTTATTTATCATGTTAGTACTTGGGATTTTTTGCACTTTAATTTTGTTGTAATTTAACAGCATTAAAAAGAGGATCATATTTATTTTCACATTACAGCAATTAGAATGGGGGAAGGAAAATAAAGCGTTTATTGATCATCAAGATTTTTTGCTTGTAAAATAAAATTTCATGTCACAAAGCAAAAAATCTTAATGGTCCTAAAAAATGCACTTCATAATCTTTATTCCATAGATAAATAATAAAACAAACTAATTATATTAACCTAATCTCTATAATCATGAAAAAGAACATATCCTGGTCACATGTCGACTTGAAATCTATATATATATAATATATATTCATCCATAGCATTTTAAGGTATTTTAAATAGATTGCGCCTTTTCTACACAAGGCAGGCTTTGATAAAATCATAACATCATGATTTATCCTTTTCATATTGTTTATCGGTAGCGTGACCTCTTTAACCCCTATTCAGGAACACAATCTGGACTGGTTTCCACGTATGAGGGCCATGTCACTGGTCAGCAGCGATGGTGAGGGTGAACAAAATGAACTGCGTAGTTTGCAGGAGAAACTAGAGTCCACAATGAGGCTGGTCTCCAACCTGACCAATCAGCTCACAGAGCTCAAAGAGCAGGTTTGTGTTTGACTAGTTTTATAAAGGTGTGTGTCTACATACTCTGCCAAATTATTCTTAATAACAAATGGAATGCTTGTTTTAAATTGCCGTTTAAAAAAAAAAAAAAAAAAAAAAACTAAATTGCAGATGTGTCATAAGCTGTCAACTTGTGGTATGCGGTGTGTATAAGTTAATTAATTGCGATTGACTGAACTCATCCCTGTTGTCAATCTTCAGATGACTGAACAGAGGAAACACAAGCAGCGGATTGGTCTGCTGGGAAACCCCGCCCACCTCAACATCAACCCACAGCAGCCGGCATGAGAGGTGGGGCCTGAGGCCTGACTGACATTATGGAGCATCATTCCAGCATATATGCAGTCATACCGTCACAGCCTTAAAACCGCATGCTAATATATTATCTTATTATGGACTCGTAACAGGATCATGAGGTCATGTCTGGCGATAGACATGGTGATTTTGAGCCTCATTGCTGTATGAGGTGCTATATTAATTTTTTTAAGCACCGATGTGATCACTTCAGAAACAGTCTTTGCACTGTGTATGAGTGTAGTATTATAGGATGCTTTCACAGAGTGGTTCTTAAGAGTTACCGGCATATCCCTCTGTATTTCTACGCACCTTTCTATCAAAATGGATTGCGTTTGAGAATATTAATATAATGTGTGAAGATTTTATATATATTTTTTCGGTGTATATTTATTTTGATGTTCAGATATTTCTCCATTTTAGAATTTCTATTGCCGAGATGGACACTCATGTGGAAGGTTTAATAAACACCTACACTGAATGTTAAAAAACACCATTTAAGTTTCTAGAACTAACGAGTGAGACTAAATTGCCTTTAAAAGATGGGTTCGCAATATAGGAACATCTGCTATAAAGACGCCAATATGTATAAATAATTCAGGAGAACTTGGTTGATGACAGAATGTTTTAATGACAGTACTTCCAGAAAATGTGACATTGTGCGTCAAATATGAGAACCATGAGCTTCACAAACATTACCATAGTCAGTCCTACCGATCACAGAGACCCACAGGACAGATTAAACCGCAAATTCACAGAGCTCTTTTTATTCGGTTCTCAGAAGTGCTCTTCAAAAATAGAAAAAACCTGGTAATAAACATAATAATTGAGATGAAAACGGTTCACTTTATCTCCATAAACAGACCGTGTCAGTCCTACCGATCACAGAGACCCACAGGACAGATTAAACCGCAAATTCACAGAGCTCTTTATATTCGGTTCTCAGAAGTGCTCTTAAAAAATAGAAAAAACCTGGTAATAAACATAATAATTGAGATGAAAACGGTTCACTTTATCTCCATAAACAGACCGTATAGACCACAGAGTAAAAAAAAAAAAAAACTACTATTGTAACATGGCTTTAGAAATGTAAACATTGTATTTGGCTTTTTTCTGGAAACATAACAGAGACAATATATTTGAAAATTTCTAGCTATATTTTGAGCATACTAATTGACAGTTGTTGTTGTTTTAAACACCTCTCACAATTCTGATAGGACCTGCAACATCCAGGTGGTTTCAACACTGTACAAAGTAAAGTTCATGTCTGCTGATTAATCTGCATTTATATATTTTTTTATGTATTCTTGATTTTTTACGAATAGCATTTAGTGTTAGATGACAGCCAAAGGACTTAATTTAAACTCTAGTGTGTGAATGATTGAGATGTAAAATATTGCTTAAGGTAATGTGAAGCCAGGAAGCAAATCAAATCAAAAGAAGAAGAAAAAAAACTTTAAATAGCCAGTATGTAGAAGACACACCAGCACTGATCATTTAGTCTCACATAAAAAATGTTAATGATTCCAGCAAAAACCTTCAGTAGAAAATTATAGAAAGAAAACTTGAATCGCCTTCAAATCTGCTCTGTGCCAGCCTCGAATGCAGGCACAGACCTACACATGTGAATACGCGCGCACACACACACACACTCGCACCCCAACACTAGGGTTATTAATCAATAACTGGATTCCAGTCACCTATGTGGCAATTGAGAAGAGAGAAAATACAAATATGAGGCCTAAAGCTGCTCATCTTCAGGACTCATAACTGACTTTCTGACCAATGTTTCCAAACACACAGAGGAGTCACATAAATAGGATGGAACAGGCTGATGGAGTGTTGCTGATGTACAGGATGTGAGGTCATAGGTCAGTAGTGGGGTGGAACAGTGAGAAGAGCCTCTTCTGGCAGACGGGAAATGTCCACATTCTGTCATAGTCAAAGGATGAATTTAGTCAAAAAACCATTCAAATTAATATTTATATATGTAAAAAGAATGCCTGGTTTTCTCACCTCAGGTTTGTCTCTGTGAGTGTTCACCGCCTCCACATTAAGATAGATCGACTCCACTTTACAGCCTAGTGCAGGACAGAATCTAGGTTACATTCAAGTACATTTAAAGAGTTCAAGAGTTTCCAGGTAATTAAAAAAGCTCTTCAACATATAAAATACCGGTGGGAAAATCTCCCTCAAGGACTCTGTTAATTTCTCAGTGAGTCTTTGAACTTGTTTCATAAATCACTGCCGTAACGGAGTAAAAACCTCTCGGATTCATTTTTGGCTACATTAAACTACTACATTAAGTTCGGCACTGCTTGTTCTGTTCTTCGTGTTGAATTGCTCAATGGTTTTTACTGTCAGTGCTGTTGTTTTATACAGAACAGGACAGTGCAGAACAACTTGTCACTGCTCATGCAGAGTCAAGGTGGTCTTAAAGGGATAGTACACTCTCAAAAATAAAAAAAGAATTCAGTGAATAATGACTTGATTTCAGACCGTTCCTTACAAAAAGCTATCATACTAAGTCAGAATTTTTGACTACATAATGAATGAGTCAACGTAGTATTTTTTTTCCTCTTCCTGACAGCCCAGTCCCTATCCTCTTCCACTGTATGGAAAGATAACATGGCCACAAATTATGAATTTATCCCCACGACTCAATTTGTGTACACGTTTTATTAATTCATTCCTTCGTTTTTGTTAATTAATGGGCACATTAGATTAATTCCTTTGTATTAGATCAATTGTATCCAATAAGTTCCCTTTTTTTTTTTTTTGTTTAAGTTGTGACCCCAAGTTGTGACCACAATTTTAAATTAGATGAGGGAACAAATTATTCAAGCATTAATAATAATAATTATTATTATTTTATTGTTTTATTTTTATTATTATTTAATAATATAACAATATAATATATTAATAATATAATAAAATAAATTCTTTGATAAATAATTTGTGGCCAAAATACCTTGTTTTCCCCCCTCACATATAACGTGCAGGGCTTCGTACACGTGTTCAGTGATGTTAAATTTCATTTTTTGCTGAAGCACCAAGTATACGCTGTGCACATGCTCAGTAAGTGTGTGAGAGAGACGAGTTTCTCACCATAGGCCACAGGAGTAAGTTTCAGGACTGTGTGTAGGGGGCATTTCAGGTACGGCAGCTCTTCTGGAAGGCAAAAGAAAAGGTTAAAGATCATAACAATATGCTAATATTATATTAACCACAGCATGCCCCTATCAACACACCTGCACTCTTGTCCAGGAAGTAAGCAAGCAGACAACGCATAACAGCCTGGTGACAAATAACCAAAACATTCTCCTGACGTTCAAGCTCCATAATGACGGGCTCCAATCGCTGGACAAGATCCTCATAAGACTGTAAAGAGTGAGAACGTTCAGTTTTCTCCGATTTAATGAGGTTACTTTCTAGTTAGTTGTAAATATAGCTTTTCAACACACCTCTCCTTTAGGGTAGCGGTAGCGATATTTGTCCTGGTCTCTGAGGGCGAACTCCAGAGGATAATGTTCCTGGATCTCCTCATACATCATCTCCTCACAAACACCCTGCACACATGTTGAAAGTCACTCACTTGGCACTGTTAAATGGAAGTACAAAGAGAACATTGTCATATAATACTTACAGCATCAATCTCGTTGAGGGTTTTCCATTGTTCATATGGTACACCCAACGCCTCAGCGGTCTGAATGGTCCGCTTCATCTGACTCGTCCACACCTTGAGATCCTTAATATTCTGATCCTGTATAAACCTCCCTAGACACTGAGCAAACTGAGACATATGAGAAAAGAAAGAGATGGTGAAATCTAGTGGCCGACCGATATATCGCCAAGGCCGATATATCGGCCGAAATTTAGCATTTTTCAAATATCGGCATCGGCCGATAAGATTTTCTGTTTGGCCGATGCGTTCGACTTTTATTTTGACAGCGCGACAGACTTTTATTTTGACGGCGATGAGAACGGCAGCGCCTGAGCACAGTGCTCACATTTTCCCTCTTGTTTGCCGTCGTCGTTAACAGTTCTGTCTACTACGGATAGAAGTCTATCTAATAATCAGATAGAACAGTTAAATAAAGGAATTAAAATGTATACTAAGTATTATATTATTAGTAATAGAGAGGCAAACATTATAATACTTTCTCGTTTGCCGTCAGCATTCAGCAAATACGCATTTATGTCATATAAACAAATCTTTGAATGAATAATGAACATTTAATTTCACAAACTTAGTCGGATCCAGCTGTGAGATCTTATGAAGTGTGCATTTGTATCCTGCATGATCGCGTGTTCTATGCGTGACGGCCGATCCATGTTAATTGAATACTAACTGGAGGAGAATTCATCTTCACTAAAGACGCGCGATCATAAACTCGTGATTTCAAATTATGCTGCGCTTTATGCATTTGCCCACTGTCATATTCATGTCATTTTCACTGTGTGCTGTATGTAAAATGAGTGTTACCTTGGCTTTATTTGAAAAAATATGATTCCCAATGCACACAAACTTCCCAGAATACCGAGTGCCCTGTTGGTTACAGTGGTGAAATCCAAATGACCAATGCCACGGACAATCTTTCACAGACACATATACCATAACGCACCTCTTTACCACGGGGTGACAGGCCTGAATCCCCTCCGATGTGACCTCTGACGTTAAAATCGCTCTCTCCATGGCGACAGAGGTAGATGGAGCGTGGTGTGATGTGGATGTTCATCAGATAATAAACGATTCTGCTCTGGATGTGGTCCAGTACACGGTTCACCAAATACCGCTGACCCACATCCATTATTTTAATGTATGACAATTCTCTGTAAGGCAAAATATACAGCATTAAAGCAACTACACACAAAATGCATAAATAATATGATGCTATATTTATTCTCAGATGGAATACACTATCACATTCTAAGAAAGAGGAAACAAATGAAATCAGATTTCTGACCTGTCTAGGTTTTCATCCAGTGGCTGGTAACTGTTCTCATAGCATTTGATCCTCTTCATGAAGTCCTGGATGGCTTCTTCAGTGTTGCGGTCAGTGTAGTCAGGGCTACCCAGCTTCACCTGCTGCTCTCCGACACACAAAAAGGGGAGAAATTAATGCTGGGATCATTTAATAAACAAATATTAATGTACTGAAGAAAAATGCTTGAGGTCAAGACATCATTTTTGAGGGAAAATATCGGATCACTGATTAGAACAAATGATTAAAACATTAGAAATCACTGGAAATCACTAGTCAATATTTTAATCACTGCCTTACCACAATGTTCTCTGCAATAACTTTGGGGTCTTCACACACAGATTCCACAAAAAACACCTAATTAAAAACATCAAAACTTGAGGATAGTAAAAATAAAATGGAAATTAAAAAAAGTGAAGAAACACTTAACTACTCAAATTTTAACCTTATAGCCATTTTGTTCTGCAAATCTCATGATGGTGGCCCTCCGTTCTCTGGTTGTGTTTGTGGCATCAAACACC